ATTCTAACTTAACTTCAAAAAACAAAAAAACAAAAAACCCATGTGCTAAAAACCACCCATAAGACTGGAGCAAGAGGGCCCAAAGTCGAAACTTGATAGACAATAAGTTATATATTAAAATTTAGGGAAATTTATCAAAATACTTGTGAAAAATTAAATATTTAACGTTACACTCATTTAGTTCGATTTAATTTCAAAATACAAAACAAAAGACATATAATCATGAGTTAGTTGGAATAGCGCCAAATGTGCAAAATATTAAATAGTTTCCTCTCTCACATGAACTTAGAAAAACAAAAGTTTATATAAGGTTGCAATATTAAAATGTAGAATTAAGGTGCACTTCAAAAATCCTTCATAAAAAGGTTATTTTGATGTTGGAAACCATCTAATAGATCATCTCAATATTGAGATATATGAATATGAAAAAAAAAAAAAAGATTTTGGGTCCTAAAAATAATGTATCTTGCAATAAATTATCTGAATCGTCAATTTTCAAGATTTTCAAGTGTTTATAGATCTACTTGATATGAACTATTTTTGTAATAGTATATTTTATAATTAGAGATGAAAATTAATTCTCAAGCCATCCTATGAATTTTTTTATATTAAAATTATATTTATGATAAAATTAGGAGGTAAACCTTAATTTGATTGTTTAAGGTTGCAACCTTATACAAACCACACCATTTAGACAAATTTCACAAAAAATTAAGTCATAGTGATGTAGGGAGAAAAGTAATAATCCAGAAAAATAAAATAAAATTAAAATAAGGATTTGAGAGATCTTTTCACAAGATCAAACTTTTTCAATGTTTTCTAATCCTCCTCTTTCAAATAACGGACATCTTACATTTAAATACAACTTAGAAGAAATAATAAATAATAAAAAACCCAACAAAAAAAAAATCTCTCCCTCTGTCTCTCTCTATCGATCTCTCCCTTCATATGATTTTCTCTCTCCATCTACCACTCTAAACCTCATGTCAAACCTTACAATTTTAGGAAGCCCCCACCCATCTCAATGCACTTCGTAATCCCTTTCGCTTCTCTTTTTGCTTTTCATAAGAGCCCACGCCCCGATCTTGTCATAAGATAAAACTCTTTCTTTGCTCTCAAATTCATCTCTTTCAAATAAAGAATGTCCTCCCTTTAAATACAACTTAAAAGAAATAATAAATAAATAAAAAACCAACAAAAAAATAAACTCTCCCTACAATTTTCTCTCTCTATCTACCACTTTAAACCTCATGTGAAACCCCATAATATTAAAAAGCCCCCACATATCTCATGGCACTTCTTAATTTCTTTCACATCTTTTTTTTTCGTTTCATGATCCTTATTAACTCGAGAAAACAACCTCAACTCCCACAAAAATAAAAACTATATCATGCATAAAAATCTATCCTAATTAACTTCCATAGAGAATTTCTATTCTACCTCTTAAATCTCTATAATTAAAAAATACAACAATAACCTTAAAAAAAACTAGAAAACTCAAATAATACTCTTTTTATAATTTAAAATTATAAAATAAAAAAAAATAAAAATCCCAATTTTTATTTACATCACATAACTACTTACAACAGTACTAGTGACAATGCCGGAGATGTAGAATAGAACTGTGGTTCAAATCCCATGAGAGAGAGTATTTAAATGAGATACACTTGGAGCCAAGTGTTGTGTAAGTCAAAAAATGATCGACTCTTGAGGGGTTTTATCACTCCTTGCAGGTGAAACCCAATTCCGAAGTATTTTAACACCTTAAATTTTGGGATGTAACCTCTTCAATCAAGCGATGAGCTTTCCAAAAAAAAAAAAAAAAAAGTTTTCAATAAAAATTAACATTCTAAGAAAAACTGCAGACAACCTAATTTTTGGACAATCATACGTAAGTGTTTGAGAACTCAAAAGTCCAATTTTTTATTTTTTCAACGTAATCATCCGCTCCTTCTAAGAAGGATCCTAAAAGGTCCCCAGAGGCCTAGCCTTAGCAGGTTCATATTGGGTCAAACCCAATGAAACGGAAAATAGGGACTCAACCCTGGCACTCGGACCGTGGTGGCTTGACAAATTTGCCCCACATATTTTATATAAAGCTAAAAGGATGACCCATGCCGGAACCTATTGTCAACTAGGGGTGGCAATAGACCTAGAACCGACATGGGACCCGACTGGGTTCTAGGTATGGGTTGGGGGTCTAGGTATGGGTTCGAAAAGTGGACTTGGCCGGTCGGATCCGGATCTAAATATTAGACCCGATTACTATTTGGATCATGAGTCTGGATCTTGGTCCAGATCGTATATTATATTCTCGAGCTTTACTGAGAGTATGACATTTAATAGAGCATACTGACGGACTGTGATTCGTATAGCCCACTTCAAATAATTACGAAAATACTATGATGATGATGCTATTTTTATTTTTAAATCCAATACAAATCAGGGTCCTACATTACATTTTCGGGTCCGAGTTTGGATATGATGACTTCGGGTTCCAAGTCCCATAATATTTTTTAGGAACGGCTCCGACCCGTTGCCACCGCCGCAGACAAGCAAAGTCTGCTCAAGACTCGCCTATGGAGTCGGTTTTACTCGTCCCGGTTTCCTAGAAATCGTCCGTACCTGTTCAGCAGATGACGGGTTCCGCTGTTTGCTTTGTGCTTCTCCCAGCTCAAACAGTCACCCACAAATCTCGGATCTCATAGACCTCTTTATTCCTTCTTTCTTTTTCATTTTTTTATAACCAGAAAAACTATTTTTATTCCTGTCATAAAAGACTCAATCTATTATTATATTATTTTTCTATTTTAATGTTTTCTTGTGGAAAACAGGATCTTCGGTGTCAAAATGTTACACGCGGTTTCAACCGAAGGCGGTTTTCCTCATTTGTTAGAGAAAGGAGCACCATAAACTAGTGGTGTATGGTTGGTGGTGCTCCGGATTCTTCCACTGTTAAACATAGACATTGATTGCGGGAAAAATGTTTGGTGCGTTGAGTCACATATCCAAATAGAGTTTTAAAACTTTGTATTCCGCTCGTCCGTAGATTAAAAATCGGTCCGGACCGAATCAGTTCCAAGAAGTTATCGTAAACACGACCCCTGGGGCATCCCTACCGAGAATATAAAAAAACTGTAAGTTACAAACATAAGATAATAATCATAAACCACGTCCACCACCCATGCCATTTCAGTAATAAAAAAAAAAAAACTCTCCATATAAACCCTCTTTTTAATTTTTGCCACCATCACGATAAATAGACATTAATTCTAGGAAAAGCATTTGGATGTGTATCGTAGTTAGGAATCCACCTAGTGTTTTAAAACTATGTGATTCGGATTGGAATCATGGATCAGACAAGAATAGTTCGGGACCAAAAAAAAACCCATAACCCTATTTTAATTGTTTAATTTTTATTTTTAAAAATTTTCTAGATCGATGTTCCAGATAGATTTGGATTGAGATACCGGGTGGATGATCCACCCCACCTATCCAGATTTTGCAAAACTATATCCACATTTTGTTTTCAATTTTCGAGTGCCATCTGCACTACCTACTGTAAATAGACAATGGTTGTTTTGAAGGATACAATCCAACCGTTATTTTCACTTATGCATAAAAAGTAGATGCATGGTTATAACTTGGTACCTACAACATTGACATTTTATGATTCAATTCTATGAATGGAACTGGTAGGCTTGGATGATAGTCCGGGCCTGACTCAAGTTGGGTTTGGCCCACAAGTTCGGGCCTAGTCTAAGAAGATGGGCTGAATCATGATTGGGATGGGCCCAAGGAATGTGATTGGATGGGAGTCCACTACGACGCCGAGCTGAGTATCCATGAGTTCTGTGCATAACTGGGGGCATATAAAACATTTAAAAAAATGTAAAATTTTGTGAAAATGTTATATGAACTTTTTTTATTATGATTTAGATGTATTTGAAAAAGATTGGTGAGTGTTTTTTTGACATAATCAATTTTTTTTATATTATATTTTTTGGGGAATTTTTAAATTGTCCCGCATTGTAAATCAGTTTTTTTTAATCTATTTTTTTATCTACTTTTTAAAGCTTGTTTTAACTTTTTAAATGCCTATCTGCATTGGCGACTTTCAATCTGGTTTGGCATTTTTTGAAACACTAGTTTCTACAGCTGAATAGGATACATATCCTACGATACATGATACATCATCAGTGTGTATTGTATGCTCCTCCTAAATGGATTAGTATACTCCATGTAATCTCAATTTGAGTTCCAACAATTCGCCCTCAAAGATTGTACCAATAGTATGCTCCATTCCTTGGAGTTCGCTAGTCGTAAACTCATTGTAGTCTCCAATTGAATCTCAACCATTTGTGCTTAAGAATAGGGGTGGCAATGGCCCGGTCCGACCGTGACCTGGTTGGGCCCAGCCTTATTGTGGCTTGGTACACGCTGGGCCGGACCATGTCGGTTGTAGGCCTGGCCTGACCCTCAGGTTGCATTTTGTGGTACGGATCCTAGCCTTTAAGGCGAGCTGCCTAGGCCATTACTGAACCTACTCAAATATGTGAAATTTGTTTGTGAATTTTTTGAGCAAATCGCAGTTGAACATAGCAACATTATATCTCAAGTTCGATTCGAACTACCAAAAAAAATAAAAAAAATATAGAAAAGAAAGAGCGAGAGAAGAGCTGCAAATTAAGGAGAGAGAAACGAAGAGGCAAGAAAAAAAAAAAAAAAGTCTTAGAACTAAATAGTTCACCTCCCCCACATGTGTATCCTTACCAATCCCAAGAATGAGCCTTTTCCGAAAATACACTAGATCTTTCCACTCCATAGCAAAAGAAAAACATATTAAAATCTTATAAAGAATTCGACCGACCTTGAATCATTTCATTATAATTGTGAAGACAAAATGCACATGTTTCGTTAATATTTAAAGGCCTCATTCAAAGCTATATATATATATATTCAGTCATGCTACACCCCATCTACTGTGTGTGTGTATGTAGATGGAGTTGAGATGGTTGTTTGTAGTTGTTATAGGTGCATGTAGCATTGGGTTAGGCGAGGGTGGGCATGAACATGATGATTACAGAGAGGCTCTCACCAAAAGCATTATTTTCTTCGAGGGGCAGAGATCTGGACACATTCCCACCAACCAGAGGCTAACATGGAGGTCTCACTCTGCTTTAGAAGACGGTAAAGCCCAAGGGGTATGTCTCTCTCTCTCTCTAACTCTCTCTCTCACTCTTTGATTACTGGACTCTCCCATGTGGGTGGGTTAACTCCCAAATTTTAAGAAAAAATATAAAAAATCTATAAAAAAAGTAATAAATTTATTTGTAATGTGTTTTTTATCATTTTGGTAAAGATTGAAATTTATTTTGGCTATTTTTAAGATACCACTTAAAAATTGACTTTTTCAAAATCTATTTTTTTAGCCTGGTTTAGATGTGTTTTGTTTATTGTTTCTTTTTTGTTATTTTTTTAGCACTTTTTAGCTTGGCCATGAGCTTGCCGGAATTACTGGGCACGGGCATGGGCCAAGTCTTCACTCCCGGAGTTGTGGTTTTGGACATTGTTCTTTCTCTCTCTCTCTCTCTAAATCTTGGCTTTTTAGAGTAGCCCATTTGGTTGCTCTCTCTCTCTCTAAATCTTGACTTTCTGGGGAGTCAACAAGGTTGGTCTATATATATATATCCAAGTAACCCAAATTTGAAGTCCCAAACAGGTAAATAGAGGACATGACAAAAAAAACAACTAAAATCCAATACCAAAATGAATTTGGAGCTTACTTCCTTGCGAAAATAAGCACCTTTGTGTTGAGAAGGAGAGATTGAAAACTTGAGTGTGTGTGGCTTGGTGATTGAAGGATTTTTTTGGGACACACTTTTGCTTTAGTTTTGTTGTGCTGGTCTTTTACTACAATTACTTAAATTTGTTACATTATGGGAAATACAACACGTTTAGCTCACCTATTTCACCTACTAAAAGTCTCAAACATTAGACTTATAGAATTATTTTATCCCTACAGCTCTCTCTCTCTTTCTTTGAGAATTTAAACTCCAACATATATAATATCTCTATCACCCCTCCCCAAAAAAAAAACACCCACCCAAGAACCAAACAAAGGAACTCCAATATATGTAATCTCTATATGCTCTATATGTTCACTCTTTAGGGCTGGCAACCGGCCGGGCCTTCCCTAGCCTAGGCCAGGTGCGGTCCTTATAGAACCGAAGGGTCTTTAACAACCCCTCTCGGGAACCAAGGCAATAACATAGAGATACAATAAAAAGAACGAAAAAACTTAATATAAGGTTGAGACCCTAAACAATCGAGTTAAGGCTCACCTAAATATTTCAGTAGAAGAATTTTTTTTTATGTTGAAAAATCTTCAAATCGATCATCTCGAATTGATGTATAGACACAAAAAAACATGGAATTCAAGTTTGGGAAATAGTGTATCTTGTAAGGCATTATCTGGGCTGTCAATTTTCAGTATTTGCAAGTATTTAAGATTTGCTTGATATACATTTTGAAGATTTAAATTTTATAATTAGTTATGAAAATATATTTTTAGGCCATCATAAAGATTTTCGCTGCTAAGAAACATCTTTCAACATTATTTTGAAGTACAGCTTATTTTGATTGTTTAGGGCCTCAACCTTATACAAATCACACCCTAAAAAGAATAGTTATCATTAATATA